ATCCACAGACTGGGATTGCAACCCCTTGGCTCATCCGCCAAACTTTGGTGACCTGCTAATGAGCCCCTGCTTGGACTGTGGGTCATGAGAAACACTAGGTCGGTTCGATAAGGCAAGTGTGGTCTGTAGTCCACAGTTGAAGGTGGAGTGCCCCATGATTGCAGATTAAATTCCTTAACCATATAGATCCATTTCCCATCAAGTTAATTTAATTATGTTTGTTTTATGATAGAAATTACTTTAGAATTTTTATTTGAATTTTTATGAGTCATTTGATATTTTATTTATAATTTTTTTTTAACATATAAAAATAAAGATATTGATTTTATAAAATTATAAAATTCAAATAATATTTTAGAATTTTTTTTTATAATTTAAAATTATATAAAATATCATGGAGGGGCCCATAATGCACATGGCCCCACCATGTGTCCAGTGGGTGGGGACCACATGTGCCACACATGGGTGGCACGCCCCACCCATTAGATTCTTTCTTGGAGTTTTAAGTTATTTCATGTTTTGATAATATTATGTTATGGCATGTGGTCAAATAAGATATGGAATATTTTGACCATATATTGACCAAATATTAAAACTATATATTGACTTGATATATCTTTAGAATATTTTGTGAAAGATTATAGAATGTATAATATTTTAATTAGATTTAATTTATCTAATTTCTATTGATGGGAAATAGTTAAGGAAAGGAGGATAATGATCCATGTACATTCCATAATGTTGATGGCCCATCTATGGAATGGATGGCTCAGATCTCTCACCTCACAAGTCACCCTTGATCGACGATCTATATTCAATCTCACAAGAAGAGGCAAGCCAAGGAAAACCCTAAAAAACCCTAATCTTGTTCTAGCCTATAAAAAAGAGATTGTCTCTACCCAAAATCTCTACACCTTATCTTTCTATCTCTCTCTCTTAAGAAAGTTTCTCTCTCTCATGTTTGATATCTCACCCCCACATTGTGAAAGAACCTAAGGGTTTAGATTATAGAGGTCTTCTCTTTCCTATATCTCAAATATGGATTTATGGCTAAGGGTTTTAGGGTTTAACAAAAAGAGAATCCATCTCTCTCAAACTAGGTTGCTAAGAGAATTCACCTAGGTTTGAGTTTGTGATCAAAGGGGTTTATGTTCTATCGGTGTGACTTAGCCGAAATTTGCTTTCCTGGTTCGAGATTGAAGCTAGACTGTTGATCACGCTCAATCGGATGTCGGTGAGTCGATGTGGGGTGTAATAAGCACGGTTGAGGTAATCTCCGACACTCTTCTTTTTGTTTATTGCAATCTTATCTTTATTTCTCAAGCATAGTACATAGTTGTTTTAATGGCATCAAGTTGTTAAGATCATGGTTTTATTGTTATGTTGATTTTATTTTGAAATTTATCTTATTATAATAAAGACCACATGTAAGTGATCTTTTGCCAAAAGAAAGGGGTGAAGAAAAAAAAAAAAATGTATTTCCCAGTAAAAGATCACATAGGTCTTTCTTTCAATATGATCTTTGCTTGAGAAAGAAAAACAATCGAGAAAACAGAATGGTACTTGGAAGAGCCTACAAAACTCGGTGCAAATCCAAAACCGATTCAGTAACTCGTAGATTGATATACATGATTAAGTAACAAAAAAATAGACTCGATCATACAAAAAAGAATAAGATCGAGTAACATACTTGATCATACAAGAATGAACATATAAAAGATGAATATGGCTTTGATACCATACAAAGAGTCTCAAGTTTATTTGAAGAGATTCAATGTTCATTTAATTAATATGAATATATAAGCTTGTCTTATATCCAATACAAATAACAAGAATATAAATAAAATATAAACATCTATACTGTACCTAGACTTACCATAAAATACAAGATATTGTACATATCCTTCTCATATATATTTGATTACAATATATACTTCCAACCAAGCCACATATGATGGACGATAAGCCCATGATATTTAATTTTTTTATGTTTCTTAATTGCTTATTTTCTTGATTGTCATTGATTATGTAATCGATTAAACACGTGCTCTAATATGATTTTATAATGGAAAAATTCTATATAAGGTTAAGGCCTTAAACAATTAAATTAAGGTACACCTTAAAAAATCACAGAAGAAGTTTTTCAATGTCGAAAAACTCCCAAATCCGATCATCTTGACCTTGAGATATATGGACATTGAGATATATGGACGTGAAAATAAATAAATACAAATCAATCACAGAAATAGTGCATCTTGTAATGCATTATCTAGACCATAAATTTCAAAATTTTCAAATGTTCATAGATCTGCTTGATCTATATTAGTTTTTAAGCGTTTAAATTTTATAGTTAGAGATAACAATAAATTTTCAGGCCATCATAAAAATTTTCAATACACTATTTAAAGGTATGCCATACTTTCATTATTTAGGACCTCACCCTCATACAACCCACACATTTTTATAATTGGATGCAAATTAGTAGCACATATGTGGTTGTTCTCAGACCGTACTCCCCATAAATAAACGAGAAAAACTCGAAAAGTTGGTAAATTTGGCTTGGCCAACATATAATTATTTCTTTAATTTGTTTTAAAATAAAAAATTTACATTTTGATCAAACAACTGTAGAGACCCCATAGTTGGTTAATTAAATTTTAATATGTCCAAGATCCAAAATCTAGAACCATATGGATAAATTTCAAGGTGTCCTGACGATTTCTATGGATGTGGTGTTTGTTATGGAGAACTTTTACCCCATAAATCCTCGTGTGTTAGGGGTGAGACGAGTGTTCGCAAAATAAAACCGAAACGGTTAACTGGACATGGGGTGCAAGTGGTTTAACCAGCCTAACCAGTAAACTGGCCGATTTGACCGTTCTAACCGTGTAAGTCCCGGACGGTCAAAAAATTGTTGAAAAAAGTAAAAAAAATGCAAAAAAAAATACAAAAATATGAAAAAATATAAATAATGATTAAAACAAAACACATTCAAATGATTGAAAATTAATGAAAATGTGGATTTTAAAGAATCAATTTGTGCCTTGGGTTAAATATATGTATTAATGATCAAAATAATTTTTAATTTTTACCATAATGCAAAGAATATTAAAAAATATATTGCAAATTAAATTTTTTATTTTTGAAATTTTATGTACATTTTTTGAAATTTTTTTTTAAATACCGGCTGATCACTAAAACTGTCCGAAACCGAAACCAGCAAAGGGTCAGTTCCTATTTAACTGGGCGGTTACCGGTTAGATTGCCCAGTTTTTCTAACATTGGATGAGACTTATACATATATATATATATATATATATATATATATATATATATATATATATATATAGTAAAGTAACGTAGTAGTCGTCGACGTAGACTATAGTAGTAATAAGTAA